AGTGAGAAAATGGGGACAGATCCAGAAGGGTCTTTTGACCACTTTAAGTTCTTTTGGTTTTTCTGAGACAGGATCCTTGGGAGGTTTTGAGCAGAGGAGAGTTGTAATGACATACTGTACATCTACTCTGTTCCCAGACCTGAAGTCGCCATCTTACTTGCTTCCACTGGGGACCCCTTGAACTTCCCTCCTCTAAGCAGTTCTCACTGATCACTGCTTGAAGTAGCGTGGACACCCTGCCTCACCCTCAATCCTTTATGAGTTTTTTTTTTTTCTTTCCGGCACCACCGACATTGTAGTATAGAACTGTTTACTATCCTCCCCTCCCCAGCCCACGAAAGCCCCGTGAGGTAAGGGACAGGGTCTGGGTGTCCCCAGCCCAGATACTGACTCCAGATGCTGATCTCCTGGAGGTTTTCATATTGTTATCCAGGTCTTCCCAAGAGCAGAGGGCCTCCTGACCAACGTATCTAAAGCAGCCCCACCCTGCCGAAGGCCCTGCAAGTTATGGATGACCTCCATCTGTCCCCAGTTCCCTCCTGGACTTTAGCTTCCCCATCTGTCAAAGGAGTTAGGGGAAGTTGGAACTAGAGGGTTAATAAAGTGGCTCCTTCTTCAACGCCACCTCCTCTGACCACTCAATTTTAAGCTCCCCAACCCTGCCAGCCGCTATCTCATTACTCTTATTTTATTCCTTGTATTTGCTCGTTTATATTCTGTTCTGTCTCTTCCACACCCCCTAGAATGTAGGTTCTGAAAGAGCAAGATCGGAGTCTGTCTTGTTCAACATATAGCCCCTATTTGTTCATAGTTAAGTCCACAAATATTTATTGAGTTCCTACTGTGTGCCTGATATTCTTTCAACAGATATTTGCAGAGCACCAAACTGTGCATCAAGCACTATGTCTTGGAAAACTAGTGGAAAGCAGAGGTCCACAGGGTCCCTGCCCAAGTGTAATCTGGTGTGGACAAAATGAATTGTGTCTGAGGCCGGCCCGTGGCTCACTCGGTAGAGTGCGGTGCTGATAACACCAAGGCCACGGGTTGGGATCCTATA